GCTTAGTAAGAATAATAAAGGAATTTCCAGCTAAGGCATCCTAGACATGAGAGCTAAATAATTCTAGAATAGTGTCTTCATACTGGAGTGCACATACCTCCAAGTAGTGTGCAAACACTTTCGAGGGAGTTCTGGACGCTAATAGCATTAAGAGCGCCAATTTCTCTTAATGTTCTGTTTCCTAAGGTAGAACTGCCTCTATTTTCACCATCGTCCTTCTCCCACTTTATAGAAGTAACACATACCTGTCATTTATCCCAGATCTTTCCATGGTACAATGCTCAGGGGTATAAAAATATAAGGGTTCTAAACTAAGGGACAAAAGGGGCTTTTCCCTAAGAACCAAAGAGCAAAAAGATCATCTGGGTAAAATTCAGTGAAGGGGCTGATCTTGTTTCATTCATACCACAAACACAAGGATTTTTCTGATTGTGCAGTTTCTGTTGAAATGGCTAAAATGTGGTCTCATTCCTGCCCAACACCCAAAATGGTTAATATTGTGGGCTTCTGTAACTGTGAGATTGGAAAAACCTGTGTTTCTGGGTTATTGCTGAAGCTATAGAGAGGGTGGGGTGGTTAGTTCCCAGGATGGTTGTCAACCCTATCTTTGCTCCATTTACCTCGCCTTTCCTTGAAACTTATAGTGTGAGCTTGTAGTAGCCAGATCTTAGCCAAAAGTGGGGATCAGGTTGTCTTTCCTGCGTCAGTTTACAGTGGCGGTGGGGCGGCCCAGTTAAAGTTTTGTCTTGGGATCCAGGCTTTACTTACCCTCTCCTCTCTCTGATAGTGTTCCTTTCCTGGCCTCTCTCAGTGAAGACTGCTCACTTGCTGTGCTGGACTCAAGCCTTTCTGAGGTGTAAGTGTGAAGAGGAATCCTTTGGGATTCAGGGAAAGGGAGCAGTGTGTGGGCAAGTCCTTTTCCTCTCCAGAAAAGTGCGTTATGCCTTTGGAGAAGAAATTCTCCATTTTTATCTGAAGGGACTTGGTGATGGAACAGGCTGGCTGTTGACCATCTCTGTTCCTGGAGCACATTCACAACCAGCTGTATCCTTGGTAGAGGAGGGTGGTAGGTGGTAGGTGGAATTTCTAAGTCTAGTACTCCAGCCCTCCCACAAGGGGGCGGTAGTCTACCCTTTCACATAAAGAACTGCATAGGAAATGCAGGTAAAAGGCAGAACCTGGAAGAACTTTCCCCCTTGCCATGATTTGCTGCCTGTTACTGTCCCACATCACTGTCTTGTTCTAGCCAGTGTTTCCTCATCTATGAAAATGGAGGACTGGCTGGATCATCGATGACATCCACTGTGGACAGCTACACTGCTATCCTGGTGATGAGGCCATACAGTTGGTGAAATGTGTGTAACACAGCCAACAAATGTGCCACAGATATGCTGGCCTCTCGTTTTTTTCTCCGGGTCTGCTTTTCTTGTCTCTACTATGCCCCAACTTTTTTTCTTTCTTCTAGGTTTAGAAGCCGAGCCCACAGAGACTTTGTGAGAGATGCTACTTGGTCCCCGCTCAATCACTCGCTGCTTACCACAGTGGGCTGGGACCACCAGGTCGTCCACCACATTGTGCCCACAGAACCTCTCCCAGCCCCCGGACCTGCGAGTGTTGCGGAATAGATTGGATTTAAGACAAAAAGCAAGTCCCCCATGAGTGTCCACTTCTTTGCCCTGCCCCCTCAACTTATGAGACAACACAGGAGCCTTCTATAGTGTGCTGATGCTAGATCTGTGCCATTAATAGGCATTGTCTCTCAGCCTGAGGGTGGCTGGATTCTGGCATCCTGTAGTCACAGGGAGGAAATGCTTTCTTAAAAATGGACATGTACGTGCGTCTGAGCGTGTGTGTAGAACTATAGTTTTTGGTGGGGGCAGGAAGAAAAAAATCTATCCTACACCTTCCCTAAGCACTGCTTCTCCCTCACCCCCAAAAACAGTTGACAAAAGGATTTTATGCTTCCCACGTAGCTGTCTATGAGGAATTGGCCACATCTGGGTGGGTTATGGATGTGGATATCCCTGGGTTCTTGGAAGCAGCTCTTATGCTACTTATAGAGATGGGATTGATTTTATTTTTTTATAGTGCTTAATTCACTATTATGAGAAACGCTTCCAGTCACAAAAATCCAGCCCAGTTCACTTTGAGAAAGAAGCAGGACTTGGTATGGTTTTACACAACTCCTTGCCATTACACTGAATCAGAAACCTATTTTCTGGCTGAATAGAACGTTTAGCTTGCCTGTGTAATGCTCACTCCCCTCCCCCCAGCTTTATAGTGGTGGGGCATATATTAGAGAGGAGTGTTTTTCTGTCATAGATGCCATGGGGGAAAGTTTGGGGATGAAGGAAAGCTTAAAGGCATTTCAATTAAGTTAGAAGACTGACACAGACTATTGAGAAATCTTTGCCACTTTTCCCACCCCAAAATAGCCTGGGGCCGGACGTCTTCTGCCCTGTGCCCCTTTCTCTTGATGTGAAAAGTCTGAATGCAATTATTTATAGACTTTTAAGGTTTTAAAATCCAGCATCAGGAAGAAAAGCAGAAATACTGGTTGGTGAAATAAAGAGTTTAGGCATTGTTGGTCTGTCTTTTTTTGAAGTGTGTGTGTTATGTGTAGTTAGACATATTTCACTTATGTGAGTCATCAGGGTGTCGGTCTTATAGCCCATTATTCTTCCTGTGCTTTCCCAGCCTCCCAAAGTAGCTAATTAGAACTTAAGATAAACATTTATTTATTTCTTGGGTTGGTGGAGTGGATATTGCCAGTTAGAAGTCAGGGATGAATTACTGATTATATTGAAACCAAATATAATAATTATGTACTTTTCAGCTTTGCAAGTTCAATATAGGTAAAATCACATTATGAAACTGGAAGAGTCTGAAGGAATATGGGCAAAATATTTCTCAGTAAAGCTTCCATGCTTCACCCTTCCAATGATTGCACTTGAGTAAAACATGGTAATTTGTAGTCATATGATCTGGGGTTGATGTGGGGTAGGAACAAAGTCTTCCATCATTTTTATAATTTGGGAGGAAATAGAATGGGTAGGTACAGTCACTTAGGTTCTGCTTCTCAAAGATAAAACTTCAATTTTGTGGACACTTAGAGAAGGTAAGGGGTTGGGGAGCTTGAGGTGAGTAAGAATTTGCATAGCCCTTTTCCTCATGGTCTTAAAAACGATGGAGGAAAAAACAGTGAAAGAGATAAGAAAGGAAATGTGTATATGTGTCAAGGTGGTTACAAGAAGGAAGGAAAACATAGTGTTTTGTTTTTTTTTTCTTTTGAGACGGAGTTTCGCTCTTGCCACCCAGGCTGGAGTGCAGAGGCACGATCTAGGCTCACTGCAAACTTTGCCTCCTGGGTTCCAGCAATTCTCCTGCCTCAGCCTCCTGAGTAGCTGGGATTAGAGGTACACACCACCACGCCCAACTAATTTTTGTATTTTTAGTAGAGACAGGTTTTCACCATGCTGGCCAGGCTATTCTCAAACCCCTGACCTCAGGTGATTCGCCCTACCAGAAAGCTTGGTTTTTGAAGGACTATATTTTATTTTATTTTTGTTTATTTATTTATTTATTTTTGAGACGGAGTTTCACTCTTGCTACCCAGGCTGGAGTGCAGTGGCGCGATCTCGGCTCACCGCAACCTCTGCCTCCTGGGTTCAGGCAATTTTCCTGCCTCAACCTCCTGAGTAGCTGGGATTACAGGCACGCGCCACCATGCCCAGCTAATGTTTTTTGTATTTTTAGTAGAGACAGGGTTTCACCATGTTGACCAGGATGGTCTCGATCTCTTGACCTCGTGATCTACCCGCCTCGGCCTCCCAAAGTGCTGGGATTACAGGCTTGAGCCACCGCGCCCGGCATGGACTATATTTTAAGGTACACAAATACTTTGTTTTTAATTTCATTGGTTCAAATGTCTAAACACTAGAGTAAACCCATTTCCTTATCTACATTCTTACACTGAAGTCCACTAATCCAACCTCTATTCCATGGCTGTTCTCTGTCCACCAAGGTCAATGAAGCTTACCCCTTGGATGGGCTCAGAACCATAAGAAATACTGAAGAAGACTTGCATATGATTTCACTAATTAGATACCTAATCATTTCACTGATTATACCTACTTTCCAAGTTATCTCTGCTGCCCAACAGGACAGTTGGAGTGTAGTTCTTGAATAAATAGCTATGTGGACATTACTTACTGGTTCACAATCACACTACTGCAGCAAAAACACCCAAGGTCTAACTGCTCTGACCTCCAGCCATATTACCTCCAGATAGCATGTTAGAAAGGGCAAGAGATTTTAAAAATCAGATTGGACTTCAGAGGGCTCCAAAATTTTCTTGCCACATCTAAACCTCAGAGTAAAGGGCTTTGATAAGAGACAGATTAGTGTTGCATTTGGACAGTGTGAGTAATGGTCATACTGGACACATTAGAAGCACTTGTGAAATTGATTTTGTTTCAAAAAAGGGTAAGCTGTAGTCTCAATTTTGAGTTAATTAAGATTTCTCAAGAACTTCAGCAGTTCACATAATACAGTTTTGGAAGAGGTAAACAAGGTAAGCAGACAACTCTGGGACCCCAAACACATTTTCTTTTTTAGTTCTCCATGAAAAATAGGCATTTCTGGAGTTTTGGTCTCACTGAGTGGTCACAGGACTACTTCAATCCAGGGAACGGAGGGAGCTGTGAGCATCTGAGAGGAAAAGTTGGCTCTTGTTTTAAGTTGTAGAGATGTGATGTAATTAGTGATTCCATAATGTTTTATCATCTGGTATAACATTTAATAGAGTAGCATTCTACTTGGTGTGGAAGCCCTCCTTATCTCATAAACGATGTTCCGTAGCTTCAAAATGTAATGGACGGACCATCAAAGTTCAAAATATAATGAAGAATTTAATTCCCAAACAACATCCTTTAACATTCTGGCGAAAGCTCAGTCAGTGTCACTGGTTGAAAGTGCCTTCAGTGGATATAGCTATATTTTACCTGTCCCTGTGATCATGAGGTACCAGATTACGGTCACACATTTCACTCTGGGAGGCACTATGTTGTAAGCATTAGGAATTTCAGTTGCAAACAGTTTCTGTTCAGGTAGTAACTCTTATCTGGGCTCTCAGCTAAGTACGGAAAATTGTTCAGATAAGAAAATGCACTTTTTATGTACAGGCTAAATTAGCTTCATGTTCTGCTGTTTCGGTAAGTTGTCTCACAGAAATCCTCTGAGTAGAATTGATTATGAGACCCTGTAAGACCCTTATCCAACCACAGTTTGCTTGGCAGAGTTAGCATTAATGCAGCCTTTGATCTAGGCATCTGGAGGCAGGTGAGACAGGCTCCGTGTGCACCACTGTCCCTGGACCTGTTGTGGCGGACTCCTTGCGGCAAGACCAAATTGGGCCTCATTTGAGTTTTTAAGGTCTTTTCTTAATGTAAATTTGTCATTTTAACTTTTTAAGCATGCAGTTAAATGGCAGCAAGTTCATTTGCATTTTCGCGCAACTTTCACCACTTCCATCTCCCAAACTTTTCATCATCCCAATCCGAGACTGTACTCATGAAACGCTAACTCCCCTTCCACAAGACCCTGGCAATCACCATTCATCTTCCTTTCTATAAATTTGACTATTCTAGATATTTAAGGGGGAGCATACAATTTTTTTTTTTTGAGGGAAGGTTCTGGCTTAATTTTGAAGGTGTTAACTTGTTCCTCAAAGTGTGTTCTATAAACGGCAGCATTTGCATAACCTGAAACTTGCTAGAAATACAGAATGTCCAGATTTACTGAGTCAGAATTTACATTTTCAAAAGCTTCCTAGGTGACTCGCGCATATTTAAGTTAGATTACCTTTTGAAAATTCCAGATGGATCAGAAACCAGACAGAAATCGTATTCAGTAGTGAGCAGCTGTGGTGCGTCAGAAGCTTTGGGGCATTTTGTGGCTTGATAATGAGCAAGATGGACATGGTTATCGTACATTCAGCTGCTTAGTCTAGAGAAACAGGATGGAATTAAGTGTTTAGGTGCTAGCCAAAAGTAAAGATTCCTAGAAAACAAGGGTTCATAACCCAGTCATGAAAGTGAAAAATTTTCCCTGATTAACATTTGTAAGTTTTTTTTATTTAAAAAATATTTAATTAGGCCAGGCACAGTGCCTCACACCTGTAATTCCATCCATCACTTTTGGAGGGCGAGGTGGTGGGTCACTTGAGCTCAGGAATTCGAGACCAGCCTGGCAACATGGTGAAACCCTGTCTCTATAAAAATACTAAAGCCAGGCATGGTGGCATGCACCTGTAGTTCCAGCTACTCAGGAGGCTGAGGCAGGAGAATCACTTGAGCCTGGGAGGCGGAGGTTGCAGTGAGCTGAGATTGGGTCATTGCACTCCAGTCTGGGCAATGGGAGTGAAACAGTCTCAAAAAAAAACATTAAGTGACAAATATTGTGTATATTCAAGGTGTACAACATGATTATACATGTATACATGTGTAATGAATTATCACAACAAGTAAATGGTACACTCAAGATAGTTTAGGAGGGTCTATTTACAAAGGGACTGATTACAAAGGTTTGGGAATGGTATAGGGAAACTAAAGGGCTAGTGCCCAAGGGCAAGGGAGGGGAGAGGTTATCATCCTCTGCTGTCCTTATAGGTGAAATTTCTCGTCCTCAACACAAGAGATGCCCAGAGTACTTCCATCTTAAACCTAAATGATTAGGCATCATTAGTGTCCTCATATAAAGTAGCAGTAGAAAAGTGAAAAGAGAAATACAAGTAACAAAATATAGCTGTTAGAGTTCCTACTCTTAAATGCTCATATAGCCTAAGTATCATGGCCATCTTTTCCCACCATCCATTTGATGTTCCCCTCACCCTCTGAGACCCTTGGTGAGATTACCAAAACTTCTGGTGTGCGGTGTCTGAGTTCTTAGTGATTTACTCTTTATTGGGTTTCTGCAGCTTTCTGTCGCAGGAATTACTGGGCAAGAGAGTACTGAAGATGTCCCAGTGAGTCCCCAGAGTTGCAAACACAGTCCTCCTTTCTCCAGTTGTGCAGCAGCACTTGATTCCCCGTTGGTAATTGGGATCAATTACCCTAACTGGTACAATGCTTCTTTCTTTCTTTTTTTTTTTTTTAACTATTTTTTTAAATTGCATTTTAGGTTTTGGGGTACATGTGAAGAACATGCAAGATTGTTGCATAGGTACACACGTGGCAGTGTGATTTTCTGCCTTCCCCTCACCTATATCTGGCATTTCTCCCCATGCCCTCCCCCCCAACTCTCCACCCCCCACTGTCCCTCCTCTATTTCCCTCCAACAGACCCCTCCTACCAGAGGCCGGGAAAATAATGTAAGGACTCTGCTTGTTACTGATATCTACTCCCAGTATACATCTGGGACTTGGGAACAATCATGTAATAAGTCCGTGATTACACTGCTTAGATGGACTCAGGCCAAGACTTCATTTACCCTTTGAACTTTATAAGCCCCCAGTAACATGTAAGGCACACTGGTGTTTCCAGTCTCTGAGAATCAGTGTAAATTTAGAGACAGTACCTAATGCCCCT